GAAGAAATTTGCAATGGTAGACGCGTTTCCACTGAAGCTGAATTGCAAGCCGGAGCGCTACCCGTTGAGCGCATGTCACAGATTCGATCTTAGTGGCAAAAACCTCGAAGCCGCAATCAAAAGGGTTCTTTACTTTTCAGTCTTTGTTTACTCTTGCCCAGGAACTGTGTTTCTTGATAGTCTGCTAATTCGTGATTTTAGAGGAGAAAAATTCATCTAAAATCAAGCATAAGCTGGCCAACCGGCTCACATACAGTGAGGTAACACTGTTGTCGTCTAGTAGGCCAGAGGTTTGGCTTTGCTACTGGGACATTCAGTCCTTGTATTGTTCGTTCGTTTCGATGGTAAAATTGGTACTGGCATGTGCGAGGAAGACAAATTCGCCATCAATTTGCTTGTAACAACTGCCGAAAGAAGTCATTGGCAGCCTTGACAGTGTATGGTTGCTGTTGGCATTTGCTACCACTTAAGTCTCCATCCCTCACGGAGAGCGAATGCAGCGAGGGTTTTTTACTTTTGATTTTTTACTACATAAAACTCGAAAATGGTTCTAGTTGACCCTGATTGCAATGCATTAGGATCCGGAAATTCACGGGTTGCAGGAAAAATTTCAGGCTGGACTAAATCAATGTGAAACAGATTTGATTTTTGAATATCCATATGCTGCAGTTGGGCTGCTGTTAATGAATTTACTAAGCGGTTTGTAGCATCCGTGTTGATGGGTGCCAAAGTAAGGGAAGTGTATATACAGAGGAAGAATAGTAGGAGAAAGAAAGGAGGAAAAACAGTTAAGACGTTCCGATCCATTAAGTCATATACGTCTTAGCTCAACTCCACGACTGGACCTCGTCAGTGTGATGGTCGTGCTGTTCAGGAATCAAGTTAACGCCATCAAAAAAAGTTAACAAAGTATCATCTAACATTTGGACAGTTGCGAGTCACACGTCGTAGTATCAAATTTAGTGAAATTTTCGGATGTGGTGATATATTTTTTCTGTGATGCCACGTTTTAGTCGTTGTTTGATTGTGACTGGATTAGCTGAAATGTGTGGAACATTGTCAATTCATGTGTATTTTTCCACTGTGCGATCTACAAGTTTTTTAGTTGATTTGACCAATTCTGCATTGGTCAGTGGTCAAACTGCCGGCGATTCCATGTTTATTTTTCTGAATTAAGACGTTTTAAGAAATCCTTGTTGTATGTTGAGCGTTAATAATTCATTCTGAACGTTGCCTGTCGTAGGCTTTGACGAAGTACCTTACTGACGAAGTACCTTACTGACCAGAAGTTAGCTGAGTCGCTACTGGGAGAAAAAATGCAGATGTTTAAAATACAGCCTTCGTTTGGGCTTTCTGGGTCAGAATGAGCTTGTGGAGAACAACAGATTACGACTTTTTGCCTGTATAACTTGGTAATTTGATTAATAACAATTCAGGAGCGGAATTATGAATTACGACTGGCACTGCAAAGTGTACTGAAATATTTCAAGCGGCGAGAAAAAGTAAGCAATGTGGAGGAGTCGGACACAGAAGAGGACTATGGTGATTCGAAGGTTGAAGTTGCAAGTGATACCGACAGACAGATGGCGAAGACCAGAGGCTTGGGTGGACTGGAAGAGGAATTAGAATCGGGTGATGAGGACGATGATGTTGACCTGCTTACTACATTGAAAAAAGGCGAAGGTAAGGGTAGTGGTATCATCTTTATTACTACAAATTAAGTGCTTTTCATTTTAAATACGTTTCTCAGTTCTCGTTTCATTGTAACAGGCCTTCTAGTCATAAGCAACTGCTAGCAATCGTCCTGTGTTTTATGCGAAAGAGGCATCCTAGAGTGCTAACCTGATTATCGCATAATTATAGCATGAAAGTAATATGACGAACCTAGAAAAGAAGGCAAGAGTAGAACGAACTATGTAGTGCAAGAGGTAGGAATATTGCTGGCGCAGAAGAAGTAAGAACGAGAGAGTTAATTTCGGTCCATGAAGTCATGTACGTCTTAGCTCAATACCGCAACTGGACCTCATCAGTATGACGGTCGCAGTGTTCAGAGATGAGAAGGAGATAGTAACAGGCAGAATTTTTCTAAAATATAAATTTTGGACATTTGAAAAGGATGAGAAGGTTATAATATGGAAGTGAAGAAGAAAGAGAGTGTCTGTATTTGTTGATGGTCGTAGTGTCTTTATGCTGCTTAGATGCTTTACTTTCTTTTCATTGCTTGTGGGGTCCTTCAGTCTATCTCTTAACTCTTCTTCTACTTGTCTTGTAACGGTCGCTACTTAGCTGAATAAATATGCCATAAATTTCTTACGTAGGAGCTTCCAAAGACACCGAAATCCAGGCAGACGCCATAGAAAATGACCCTGTTTGGGTGTTTAAGTTTCAAAAAAGTTGAGAAAAAGCCCTATATGTATTACTTTTTATAAATAGTTCAAATATCTATACCGTTTCAATATGTTATCACTAGCTCGCAGTCTTGGTTGTTTGCTGATTTATATTATGAACATGGGTTGTGGTTTTGGTTCATAAGGTGACTAATAGAAGCTGGTCAGAAATAAAAAAATAAGTGCTAAAGACAGTGTTGATGGAGTGTGGAGATGGGTGTTTCAGGAAAACGTCGAGGGAAACGGCGTTTGGAGAAATCGTCATCGCCTGAATTCAAAAAGAAGCAAAAATTTTCGGAGGTTGTGAAAGATTTGGAAACCGAGATAAATGAAAAATTGGACAGTCTTGGCAAGGGCGATCTGGCATGGATTAATCGAGCTCGCAGCGGTCGCATTGTCAAATGGCCTGTTGTTGTATGTTTTTTTCTTGTTTTTTTAGTACTTTTCCGTTCACACACGTCAGGACAAAAAGCTCGGCTTGTCGTATGATGAAAATGACAGAAAACAGTTGAAAAATAAATGACTAGCGCACCGGCTGTCGGTGTGAAGATACGTTTTTTGTACAGTTCTTCGCAGGTTTCATCGCTAGCAGCACTGTTCTTTCCAGCAGATGCTTTTGACTAAACGAGTTAAGACTGGCCACCAGGACTGTTAGGAAATACCCCCTTAAATTTTCAGCCTTCTGGCTTCCTTGGTTTCCGAGTTAGCGACTTACTTATTAAAAACCTTCACAAGTCCGTATGTAGGCACCACGCACACCCCTTGTCTATGTTTTAGCTTATTAACACCTAGTTGGATAGGGGACATCCCTTTAAAGTTCCAGTCTTCTAGCCTTTCAGTTTCCCAAGTTAGCGACTTACCCGTAAAAAACTTTCGTGGGCCCATATGTGGATATTACGTATTCCGGGGACTGGATTTGACTTATTAAGACCTGCGTGACTGGGAACTTCCTCTTAAAGTCACAGCCTTCTAGCTTTCCTGGTTCCCGAATTAGCAACTTACTCGAAGAAAATTTTTCCCAAGTCCATAAGCGCGAATCACGCATGCCCGGTGTTAAAATCTGAACTCATTAGGGCCTGCGTGAGCGGGGAACACTCCTTAAAATTTCAGCTTTCTACCTTTTCTGGTTCTCCAGTTAGCAGCTTGCCCGTCAAAAGCTTTGGCAGGCCTGTACCTGGACAACACGCGGTAGGAGCGCTCAATTTAGGGATTGGGGCCCGTACTTGCATGTAGATTAAGCTCCCCAATTTTCACCCTGTAGCTTTTGTAGGTCTCAAGATGAAAAATCGGTGCAGACGAACACACACACACGACTTCTCATCAATATGCGTTTCCTGCATTTCATAGATGTATAAACGAATAAAAAAGCAGTTTTTAAAGAACACAGAAAATGCTTTGCACTGTATTCAAAGAGCACTGGAAATGCTACCGGGCATAGTAAAAAATCTACCTAAACACATGTATGGAATTATGTGATTGAGAGAGGTACAAAATTGAGGAGAGTGGAGAAATTGCTGGCGCGAATGACCACAACAATGAAATAACAACTGTTCATAGCATTAAAAAATTGAATAAAAGTGATTTTCAGCAACATCAAATAACTTCTCGTCCATTATAACTGCGTTACAGATTGATGTGATTTTAGGTGCTGCAAGTGGATAGCGACACTAAAACGTGTGTCTGCACCGAACTGCCACTCGACGACATGTCCTCGAGCATGGAGTGGTAAGTGAAACGTCTGCTTGCCCATCCTCATCATCGTGTACTGTTTGGATCTGTGTTCTTCTAAAGCAGTCTAAAATTGAATGCTCCATTTTTCCTCTTTTTTTCCTCTTTCATCGTTTCCTCGTTCCTCGTTTCCTCGTTAAAAAATCAGAGCCATCTCAGCCAGAATAGCCGGATAATCGTTCCAGAG